TGTGAGAAAAGGAATTTGTGGAATGTCTATGAGATGGCTTTTTAGAGCAGCTTATTGCTAGGCCCCCACTAGGGAACAGGCAATACTGAATTTAGTGATGTGTAAAGTTGCAGACTTGATAAGGGAGCTTAAGGTGAAGGAACCCTTAGAAGACAGTGACCACAATATGATAGAAATTACTCTGCAATTTGAGAGGGAGAAGGTGAAATCAGATATTAACGGTATTACAGTTGAATAAAGGCAACTATAGAGGCATGAGGGAGGAGCTAGCCTAAACTGACTGGGGAGAGGAGCCTAGCAGGAAAGACGGTGGAACAGCAATGGCAGGAGCTTTTGGGAGTAATTTGGGTGACATAGCAAAAACTCATCCCTCGGAAAAAGAAGCATTCTAAAGGGAGGATGAGGCAACTATGGCTGACAAGCGAAGTCAGGGACAGCAAAGAAGCAAAAGACAAAGCATATAATGTGGTGAAGAGCAGTGGGAAGCCTACAAAGACCAACAGAGGACAACTAAAAAAGGAAATAAGGAGGGAGAAGATTAAATATGAGGGTAAGCTAGCCAGTAATATCAAAGAAGATTGCAAGAGTTCATTTAGATATATAAAGGGCAAAACAGAGGCAAAAGTGGACATTGGGCTGCTGGAAAATGATGCTGGAGAAGTCATGATTGGGAACTGAACAAGTACTTTGTGTCAGTCTTCACGGTGGAATACACAAGTAATATCCCAACAATTCAAGAGAATCGGGAGTGGGGTGGGGGATGGGTGGTGGCCGAGATGAGTATAGTGGCCATCACCAAGGAGAAGGTGCTAGAAAAACTGAAAGGTCTGAAGGTGGATAAGTAACGTGGACCAGATGGACTACACCTCAGAGTTCTGAAGGAGATAGCTGAAGAGATAGTGGAGGCATCAGCAGTGATCTTTCAGGAATCAGTGGAGCCAGGGAGGTTCTGAGAGGACTGGAAAGTCACTAATGCAACACCCCACTCCCACCCCTCAACCCATTTAAGAAGGAAGTGAGGCAAAAGATGGGAGATAACAGGCTGGTTAGCCTGACCTCAGCCATTGGTAAGATTTTGGAATGCATTGTGAAGGATGAGATTTCTGAATACTTGGAAATGCATGATAAAATAGGCAAAGTCATCATGGTTTCATCAAAGGGAGGTCATACCTGACAAATCCATTAGAATTCTTTGAGAGGGTAATTGGCAGGTTAGACCATGGACAGCCAATGGATGTTATGTATCTGGACTTCCAAGAGGCCTTTGACAAGGTGCCATACAGGAGGTTGCTGAGTAAGATAAGGGCTCATGGTGTTAGAGACAAGGTGCTTGCATGGATATAAGATTGGCTGTCTGGCAGGAAGCAGAGAATGGGGATTAAAGGTTCCTTCTCAGGATGGAAGCCAGTGACTAGTGCTGTTCCACAAGGGTCAGTGTTGAGACCATAACTTTTCACTTTATACATTAATGATCTAGATGAAGGAACTGAGGGTGTTCTTGCTAAGTTTGTAGATGATACAAAAATAGTTGCAGGGACAGACGGTATTGAGGAGGCAGAGAAACTGCAGAAAGATTTGGACAGGTTAGGAGACTGGGCAAAAATATGGCAGATGGAATACAACGTGGGAAAGTGTGATGTCATGCACTTTGGTAGGAATAGAAGCATGGACTATTTTCTAAATGGGAAGAAAATTCAGAAATCTGAAGTGCAAAGGGACTTGGAAGTCCTAGTCCAGGTTTCTCTTAAGGTAAACTTGCAGATTGAATCAGCAGTTAGGATGGCAAATACAATGTTAGCATTTATTTCGCGAGGACTAGAATATAAAGACGGGGATGTACTTCTGAGGCTTTATAAAGCTTTGGTCAGACCACATTTAGAGTATTATGAGCAATTTTGGGTCCCATACATCAGGAAGGATATTCTGGCCCTGGAACGGGTCTAGAGGAGGTTCACAAGAATGATCCCAGTAATGAAAGACTTAATATATGACAGATGTTTGAGGACTCTGGGTCTATACTTGATGGAGTTTAGAAGGATGAGTGGGACCTAATTGAAACTTGCAGAATGACCTGGACAGAGTGGATATTATTTCCATTGGTAGGAGAGACTAGGATCTGAGATCATGGCCTTAGAGTAAAGGGATGACCCTTTAGAATGGAGATAAGGAGAAACTTCTTCAACCAGAGAGTAGTGAATCTATGGAATTCATTGTCATAGGAAGCAGTGGAGGCCAGGTCACTGAGTATATTTAAGACAGAGATAGATAGGTTCTTGATTGTCAAGGGGATCAAAGGTTAAGGGGAGAAAGTGGGAGAATGGTGTTGAAAAATGTATCAGCCATGATTGAATGGCGGAGCAGATTCAATGGGCTGAAAGGCCTAATTTCTCCTCCTATTTCTTATAGTCTTATGGTTTTGTGTTCCCCCTAACCGTGCCCCCTATTTCTATCCAAATACCCATCCAATGTCTCTCTGGAATGCCTTCATTGAACCTGCCTCCCCCACATTTCCAGGCAGTACATTCCACACTATCACTACCCACTGGGTGAGAAAGTCTTCCCTCACTTCACCCTCACTTTGTTTGAACATCACTTTAAACCTACGCCCCTCTCGTTCTTGTTCCTTTTCTGAGTGGAACAGCTTCTGCTTCTCTACACTGTCCAGCCTCTGCTCAGGATTTTAAAAACCTCTATCAGATCTCCCTCTCAGCTTTCTTCTCGCATTGGAGAGAGGGCAGATGCGATTTACAAGAATGGTTCCAAAGATGAGAAACTTTAGTGATGGGGATAGATTGAAGAAGTTGAGACTGTTCTCTTAGGCTTGTCTTTACAGGGGAGCTGTGGAGATGTTGTTTCCCCTGTGTAGGAGAGTCTAGGCACCATCTTAGAATAAGGGGTCACTCATTTAAAGAGAAATGAGGAGGAATTTCTTCTGAGATAGCAAGAACTGCAGATACTGGAGTCAGAGTCAATACATGTGGAGCTGGAAGAATACAACAGGTAAGGCAGCATCAGAGGAGCAGGAAAGTCGACATTTTGGGTTGGGATCCTTCTTCTCTCTGACGGGACTGAGTCTGTGGAATTCTTTATTGCAGAGGGCTATCGATACTGGGTTATTAGGTACATTTAAGGCTGAGACAGACAGAATTTCAATCAGTCAGGGTTAATCAGTCGATGGTAAAGATTGTGGATGTTGGAAATCTGAAGCAAAAACAGAAATTGCTGGAGAAACTCAGGAGGTCTAGCAGCGTCTGTGGGGAGAGAAACAGAATTTATGTTTTGAATCCAGTGACCCTTCTTCAGAACAGTCATACTGGACTTGAAAAATTAACTCTGCTTCTCTGCCGACAGACACTGCCAGACTTTCTGAGTTTCTCCAGCTTTTGTTTGGTACCAAAGTGTTACGGTGAAAAGGCAGGAAAGTGAAGGTCACAAAGGTCAGATCAGCCATGATCTCATTGAATAGCAGAGCAGAGTTGATGGGCTGAATAGTCTACTTCTGCTGTTACATCTCATTGTTTCATGGTTAAACACAGACTGAACCAAAAACACACCAAATTTAGTCCCTAATCTTTTTGACAGCAACTGCTCCTACTGCTGAGAATGAGATGAAGACCCTTTTACTGGAATCTTTCATGTTGGGATCTCATCAAATTGCCTCTAAGATACAATCTATTCCTAGTTTGGAGTTGATGGAATTACACAACGCCCCTCACTTTCTTTTGGGGAATGTCACTTTGATGGTAATGAAGATTTAAGATTTTCAGACAAAGTCCATGTGATTCGTTAAGTTGACTATGTGTTCTCTTCAGCTGAGGTCCGTCATCTGTAACGTTGCAGCAAGCTTCCTGGGCAACATTGTCATGCTTGTATGTTCTGCACAAAACCTTAGGAAAGCCCTTGACATTGTCCATTGTATGACTCTTGTGGAGCGTCCTGTCACACTCGGGATTTCCCGATGATTCTCGGTTTTGTATCTTTAAACCCAATGTTCTCTTGTGGAAGTCTCTGCAAGGATGGTATTGTTATGGACAGATGTATCCGCAGCCAGCAGATTGGTGAGGATGAGGTCAACTATGTTTTCCCCCAATCACTTGCCGCAGACTCAGTCTGACAGCTATGTCCTTTAGGATCCAACCAGCTTGATCTGTGGTGCTGCTGCTGAGCCTCTCTTTGTGGTGGACATTGAAATTCCCCACCCAGAGTATATTTTGCACCCTTGCCAACCTCACTGCTTCCTCCAAGTGTTGTGCAACATGGAGGAGTACTGATTCATTAGCTGAGGGAGGATGGTAATCAGCAGGAGGTTTCCTTGCCCATGTTTAACCTGATGCCACGAGACTTCATGGGGTCTGGAGTCAATGTTTAGGATTCCCAAAACACCTTACCCCCTGACTGGTAGTAGTATCTAGGACTTTGTGTGAAAGCTGTGATTCTGTGAATACGACTAGGTCAGGTTGTTGCTTGACTAGTCTGTGGAATAGCTCTCCCAATTTTAACATAAACCCCCAAATATTATTCAGGAAGATTGTACAGGGTTGTACAGGGTTAACTGCTGTATTTGATGCAGGCTTTTCTGGTGCTTAGGCTGATGCCATGTGCCCATTCTGCTTTCATTCTGTTTCTGAGACTGTGCTGTGATTTGGTACAACTGAGTGGCTAGAAAAGTGAATCTCTCCATCTCTGGTTCACAAGACAGGAGATTACGAAAGGAAGCGAGGTGACTCTAGCCCTGGTGACAATACAGTGTGGGCCTTGTAAAGAGCTGGACATTTCTACTGGCAGTGCATGTCTGTCATGAGACAGATTGCTCATGTATCCAGAATTTCCAGGTGTTCAAATATCCCACATCCATGCTCAATAACGTTGGAATCGGACATGCATATCCAAAATGGATTCAAGCACTTGTAGATGGGGACACTGCTGGCAGATGGTTTTAATACAGATAAATACATGGTTTTATAGTTAACACTGGAACAACAAGCTTCCTCTAATCATACTGACACCTGTGTCATCACTATAACGGGAGAAACTCCCCGGTTTCGCAGGATTATTCACCTCCTCTTCATCTTTCCACCTCACAGCCACTGTGTGACTGCCACAGTCTAACAGGAACTGCCTGACAATCCTCATTTTAGCAGTTCATCCACCCTATGAATTCCTCTGGCAGCTAATACAGGGCAGTGAGCCTCCTGATGTGGTGCTACATTCTCAGCAATACAATTATACCATAATCAGCAGTTTGCATGATCGTGAGACTTGGGGACAGACGGTAACTGCCTTGTTGGTTTAACTCCTGGTTCCTCACCCTGGTTAGTTCAATTAGCATCCTCTGTCAATGTTAATGTTGACTGCGAGAGATTGCGGGGGGCATATGACAGCGATACCTGTAGCAACAAGAACAAAAGCAGAATATATTACTGATAAATGGAGACACTCGGCTGGCTGGGATCATAATGTAAGTGGGATTGGCTGAGGATGCCAGGATTAATTCCCAATAACTCCACACTCACACTCACACACACACACACACACACACACACACACAGACATATGTACACACTTACTGATACACATGCTGACACACACATACACACAGAGACATATAAACACAGACTGACACACAGACACACAACTTACTGATACGCATGCTGCCACAAACACATACACAGACACAAACATGTACACAAACACACAAACAGGCACATTGACACATACACATGCACTCATGTACAGAAACACACACATACATACGCACACACACGTACATATAAAAAGTGGATGAACATGTACAGATACACAGTATAATCACTGTGATTATTTTTGTTTTTGAAACAGAATTTCGAATGTAGAGAAATGGAAATGTTTGTTAACACTGAAGAAAGTGCAATTTAAACACACCTTGGTAATTACAGTTCAAAGATTTCTAATGTGTTGCTGGGATGGTGCTATGGAATTTAAATATAGGGTTTTTTTTAAACTAGACAAGACACGAGTCAGACTACAGTTGGGATACTGTGAACAGTTTTGGGTCCTCTATCTAAGGAAAGATAAACTGGCATTGGAAGTACTACAGAAAAGGTTCACGAGACTGATCCTGGGGATGGAGGAACCATTGTATGAGGAGAGATTGAGTAGATTGGGCTTGCACTCATTGGAATTAAGAAACAAAAACAGAAATTGCTGGAAAAACTCAGCAGGTCTGGTAGCATCTGTGAGGAGAAATCAGTGTTAACAGTTTTGAGGAACCGTCACTGAACCCGGAACGTTAACTCTGATTTCTCTTCACAGATGCTGCCAGACCTGCTGAGCTTTTACAACAATTTCTGTTTTTATTTCTGATTTACAGCATCTGCAGGGTTGCTGGAAACCATTCTTTCAGTTTTTAAGAAGAATGAAAGGTGATCTTATTGAAACATACAAGATTCTTAGGCGTCTTGTAGGGGAGATGTGGAGAGGCTTTTTGTCCTTGTGGGAGGGTCTAGGACCAGAGGTGTATCATCTCAGAATAAGGGGCCACCCATTGAAGGCAGAGATGAGGAGGAATTTCTTCACTGTTTGGGGAGTGATTCTATGGAATTCTTTACCGCAGAAGGCTGTCAATGCTAGGTCATTCAGGATATTCAAGGCTGAGACAGAGAGATGTTTAATCAGGAAGGGAATTGAGAGTTATGGGGAAAGTTCAGGATGATCCTATTAGCCATGATCGCATTGAATGGCAGAGCAAACTTGATGGGCTGAATGGCCATGTCCTGCTTGTACATCATCGTCTCGTGGTAAAGGCTATTTACTTCTAGGATTACAATGGCTATTTAGTTTCTGTCAGGGAGTTTCCAGTTTGTCTCAAGACATTTCATAAATACTTCAGAAGTTCAAGCATAAGCTGGGGAGGTTTCAATTATTCACGTTTGTTTCCCAGATCCAAATTGCTAAAGCATGTTGTAATCAGAACATAAGAACACAAATAAATAGGATCTGGAGTAGGCCATCTGGCCCCTCGAGCCTGCTCCGCCAGTCAATAAGATCATGGTTGTTCTTTTCATGGATTCAGCTCCACTTACCCACCCGCTCGCCATAACCCTTAATTCCTTAATTGCTCAAAAATCTTTCTGTCTTTGCTTTAAAAACATTCAACGAGGTAGCTTCAACTGCTTCGCTGGGCAGGGAATTCCATAGATTCACATTCCTTTGGGTGAAGAAGTTCCTCCTCAACTCAGTCCTAAATCTGCTCCCCCTTATTCAAGTCTATGCTCCATTAGTTCTAGTTTCACCTGCCAGTGGAAACAACCTCCTTGCTTCTATCTTATCTATTCCTTTCATAATTTTATATGTGTCTATTAGATTCTACCTCATTCTTCTAGATTCCAATGAGTACAGTCCCAGTCTACTCAATCTCTCCTCATAAGCCAATCTTCTCAATTCCAGAATCAACCTAGTGAACCTCCTCTGCACTCCCTCCAGTGCCAGTACATCCTTTCTCAAGGACACCACAACTGCACACAGTACTCCAGGTGTGTCCTTACCCGCACCCTATACAGCTGCAGCATAACCTCCCTGTTTTTAAACTCCATCCCTCTAACAATAAAGGACAATATTCCATTTGCCTTCTTAATTACTTGCTGCACCTGCAAACCAAAATTTTGTGAATCATGCAGAAGGATACCCCAGTTCCTCTGCACAGCAGAATGCTTCAATTTTTCACTATTTAAATAATAGTTCATTTTGCTGTTATTCTTACCAAAATGGAATACCTCACAATTACCAATATTCTACTCCATCTGCTAGACCCTTGCTCACTCACTTAACCTAACTACATCCCTCAGCAGACTTTCACTGTCCTCTGCACACTTTGCTTTACCACTCATCTTAGTGTCATCTGCCAACTTTGACACACAACAAATGGTCCCCAACTCCAAATTGTCTATGTAAATTGCAAATAATTGTGATCCCAATACTGATCCCTGAGGCACTCCACTAGCCACTGATCGCGCCAACCAGAAAAACACCCATTTATCCCCAATCTTTGCTTTCTGTTAGCGAAGAGTTCTGTGATGGCAATGAAGACTTCCCCATGGTGCTATGAATTATGATAACTGAGGCTCACAATTTCTTTGCATTGCACAGCTGACCAGGAATATCTCCATTTCTTACTGTCTGACACCAGTGTACATTGGCAGGATAAAAGACTTGACATTGACCTGTTTGCCAATCTTTAGGTAGAGGGAATTGCCATAAAAAGCTGGGAGACTTCAGGGAGACAGGAATGAGAAGATTTTTGAGTCTGAATTCAGAACAGGAATTTGGTAAGAAAATGGTGCTGTGACATTCAATTAAAGCTGACGATTGGCTGGTGGGTATTTCCTATTTACTGAAGCAACTTGCAGATCAGATCAATAAAATAGGAAACTGTGATAATGAGTAACAAATGAACAACTGTTGAGTATTATTTGTAACCTTTTATTTTAAGTTGGGCTTATAACTGACATGAAGGTGTTCTCAGTATAAGTGAGATTTACCAGTATTAGGAAGGTTTACTCATAGTAGGAAGGTTTGTCACTAGTAGAAAGTTTAACTAATAAACAAAGAATTGGAAGGGCTACTCCAACCTCAAGAGCGTACATCTTGTATTCGGATGGAACTCCAGGTCTTTCCCTGTGTCCAGGATACATTGCTAGTTACAGCTTCTGGAGGTCTGGGTTTCAGAACGTGAATCCCTGCACATTGTGAGGCTGATGCCATCATGACAGCACCTTTATTGATGTACTCATGGATTTCTGAAAGGCAAAACATGTTTGACAAACCTGCTGGAGCTTTTTTTTTGAGGGCTATAGTTGTAGTTTAGATAAAGGTGAAGCAATTGATGTGATGTACTTGGATTTTCACAAAGTTTTCAATAAGGCCCTACAGACAAAGTTAAGAAACAAATTTAGAGCCCATGGGACTGGGTGTAATATACTGGCACATATTGAGGAATGGTTAACAGAGTTTGAATAAATGGATCATTCTCAGGAGGGCAGGCTTTCATTTGTGGGGTACTTGTGAGTTGTGAGGAAGGTGCAAGCAAACTTAAAATGGTTGAGTAAGAACATGGCAGATGAACACACTGTGAATATGTGTACTGTTATTCAAATTGCTTAACAAAATGGAAGGCGGAATCTTCGTTAAATGGGAAGAGGTTGAGGTGCTGATGTCCAAAGGGACCTGGTGACCTTATCCATGAGCCAATAAAAGCTAGCATGCAGGGGCAGCAAGCAGTAAGGAAGGTTAATGATATGCTGGCCTCCATCACAAGGAGATTTCAGTCCAAGAGTAAAGAGGTCTTGCTGCAGTTATATAGAGCCTTGATGAGTCCTTACCTGGTATATTGTGTTTCGTTTTGTCCTCTGTATTGGAGGAATTAGAGAATCACAGGAGTGTTACATAGAAACATAGAATTTAGGAGCAGGTGAAGGCTATTTGGGCCTTCAAGCCAGTTCCATCATTCAGCATGATCATGGATCCCAATGTCTTTCAACATGCTTTGATCCCTTTAGTTTTAAGAACCATGTCTTTTTCTTGTAAGTCTTCAATGTTTGTCCTCAATAGTTTCCTGTGGCAGAGAATTCCACAGGCTCAGCATGGTCCTAAAATGTCTACCCTGTAATCTTTAAATGATAATCCCTGGTTCTGGACTCTCCAATTATTAGGAACATGCCTCTACCCTGTCAAAGTCTGTTAAAACTTTAAAGGTTTCTGTGAGATCCCCTCCTCGTTCTTTTAATGCTAGTGAATAAAGCCCTAATCAATCCAGTCTCTCTTCATACCTCAGTCCTGTCATCCCAGGCATCAGTCTGGGAAAACTTCACTGCACTCCTTCCATAGCCAGAACATCCTTCCTCAGGTAAAGGAACCAAAACTGCACACAATGCTCCATGGGTGGTCTCACCAAGGCCCTGTACATTTGCAGCAAGGCATCCGTGCACCTGGCCGTGCACCTGGACTCAAATCCTCTTGCTATGAAGAACAACATACCATTCACTTTCTTCGCTGCCTGGTGCACCTGTATACCTATGAGATTCTGTCTCTATGAGATGCTGAATGGCCTTCTTCTGTTCCACTGTCCAATGAGACCTGGGTAACCTAGTCATTAAGTCACTAAAGGCTGAAATACAGGAGAAGCAGCTATTAGAAGAGGATTTGAGTTCAGTAGTGAAGTCTTGCTTTAATCGTATACAAACTTGGTTAGACTGTAACTGGAATACTGTTTACAGTTTTGGTCTCCTTATCTCAGGAAAGATATTATTGCCAAAGAGAGTGTGCAGAAAGACTTGTTCACCAGGATGATGGGACTTTCCTCTGAAGACAGATTGGGTAAGCTAGGCCTGTATACTCTAGAGTTTTTAAGAGT